AAAATCATAAGGCTATTGTAAGAATAAATGAAACTTGTTTTTATGCTTTCAAATAATTAGACCTGCTTAAACAGAATTTGGTAACAATAAAACATAAGGTTGGAAAAAATAAAACATTTCATAGGGCCCTAAATGTAATATTTGTTAAACTTTTAATAAATTTATGTTAAATTGTTTGTTTCATGATTTTAATTAATTAGACATGCTTTTTGATTAATAATTTAATTTAACCATTAAAAAGGAGTCCAGAATTTATTTTTTTTTTAAACCTAGGGGAAACTCTGACCTTGCTCTAATAAAATGTTTATTGACCCATGATTAACCCAAAACAAGAACAAATTTTGTATACATTTTTGTTTAATTTGTTCATTTTATCTTCTTTGTAACTCAAAATCCTGGAATTATATGTGTAATGTTTCCTGAAATTATTCTCTTTCAGTATTAAAATATTTTTCGTAAGGTTCTTGTGTGTGACTTTCATGACCCCTATTGGAAAATTACTAACTAGTGCCTGAAATGTTGCTTCTTCCATTTATAAAGCAGTTTCATTTCTCTTTTTGTGGCTAATGGTGACAGCTGCAGGCCCTCACCCTTGGTTTTGCAATATAACTTGTTTAGCAAGCAGACTCGGCAACAGTGTGTTGCTTTGTAAACATTCATTGCTTTCATTTCCCATTCCCTGCAGGTTTCCCATGAGTATACCTTAATTTACAGTTATTTAAGTTCTCCAGATATAGAGGTACCTTCTCAATATGGGTAAAGAAGCAGAAGGTGCAAACTGTTTCAATTCAGCTTCATGAACCAATTGAACAATGGAAATGACAGCAGATCAGCGGTCCGTGGGCGTGAGACTAGCCTTAGATGACTGCTGATGGATGTCTGTGATCAAGGTGTTGGTGTCTGGCTCACTCATTCAAATCATGCGGCATATCCTCAGCTTTGATTCATTGCGTCTGTACGATGACTCCACTTTCTCACAGGGAATAATATAAAGGAAATACAAAGGTAAGTAAATAAATAAAATAAAAAAAATCCACTTAAAGGCACAATATGTAATTTTCGCCGCTAGAGGGCACGTATTCAAAATAAACAAATAGACAAAGGCGTAGTTTGATGACGCCGTGACTGAGTGTGGAATCATGGGAGCTGTCCTCTTCATCCCCACAGCCGATGCAATCCGACGGGACTCGGGCAGAAATCATGTTCGCACACACAAGTGAGCACACTCCCACTCCCACCAGTATTTGTAAATATTAAGCCGCAAAACGACTATTTAAATATGAATTCTACATGTCTCTGTGTTAATGAATGGCGCAGACGCACGGTTTTGTGTACTACTTGTACTGAAGCGTGCGTGACACTTCCGGTGATATTAACGTCTGCCGTCTCACTAATGAGGACATAAATACATGAACAACATCTCCAGAACTGCTCTGAGAGTCACTTCATGAGCATTTGACCGTTTCATTTGAGTAAAACTATCCTCATATCACACAGAAATGTAAAGGTATTCATGGCAACCTGTCAAAATAAAAGTTCGGTTTAACTTGAAGGCATTGGCAGAAATATATTACTATTGTTCAGTAGAATGTACGTTATTATTAACAGGCTGCTACTACTACTACTAAAATTATTAAAACCTTATTTTAACGGAATAATCATACAATATTTCTTCAATGTTTTAATTGTAATATTAAATTACCTTTATTTTCCAAAAAATAAAATGTGTTTAATTTTCATTACTTAAAAGATAGATTAAATTAATGTTTTATGCCTTAAAAAAATGTAAATACACAACACAGAATTTCTGAGCAAAAAAATCATAAGGCTATTGTAAGAATAAATGAAACTTGTTTTTATGCTTTCAAATAATTAGACCTGCTTAAACAGAATTTGGTAACAATAAAACATAAGGTTGGAAAAAATAAAACATTTCATAGGGCCCTAAATGTAATATTTGTTAAACTTTTAATAAATTTATGTTAAATTGTTTGTTTCATGATTTTAATTAATTAGACATGCTTTTTGATTAATAATTTAATTTAACCATTAAAAAGGAGTCCAGAATTTATTTTTTTTTTAAACCTAGGGGAAACTCTGACCTTGCTCTAATAAAATGTTTATTGACCCATGATTAACCCAAAACAAGAACAAATTTTGTATACATTTTTGTTTAATTTGTTCATTTTATCTTCTTTGTAACTCAAAATCCTGGAATTATATGTGTAATGTTTCCTGAAATTATTCTCTTTCAGTATTAAAATATTTTTCGTAAGGTTCTTGTGTGTGACTTTCATGACCCCTATTGGAAAATTACTAACTAGTGCCTGAAATGTTGCTTCTTCCATTTATAAAGCAGTTTCATTTCTCTTTTTGTGGCTAATGGTGACAGCTGCAGGCCCTCACCCTTGGTTTTGCAATATAGCTTGTTTAGCAAGCAGACTCGGCAACAGTGTGTTGCTTTGTAAACATTCATTGCTTTCATTTCCCATTCCCTGCAGGTTTCCCATGAGTATACCTTAATTTACAGTTATTTAAGTTCTCCAGATATAGAGGTACCTTCTCAATATGGGTAAAGAAGCAGAAGGTGCAAACTGTTTCAATTCAGCTTCATGAACCAATTGAACAATGGAAATGACAGCAGATCAGCGGTCCGTGGGCGTGAGACTAGCCTTAGATGACTGCTGATGGATGTCTGTGATCAAGGTGTTGGTGTCTGGCTCACTCATTCAAATCATGCGCTCAGCTTTGAGCTTTGATTCATTGCGTCTGTACGATGACTCCACTTTCTCACAGGGAATAATATAAAGGAAGGTAAGTAGTAAGTAAATAAATAAAATAAAAAAAATCCACTTAAAGGCACAATATGTAATTTTCGCCGCTAGAGGGCACGCATAGTTTGATGATGCTGTGACTGAGTGTGGAATCATGGGAGTTGTCGTCTTCATCCCCACAGCCAATGCAATCCGACAGGACTCCGGCAGAAATCATGTTCATGGATGAGCTAATGATTTATTAAAGTAGTAGAATGAAGCAAGGTGAGGCTGAAAGCCGTCGAAGTAGAGCCCTGCATTTCAGCCTGGGGACTACGGGCCCGACTTTTTTACGCACCCTCGGGCTGGGCTTCGGGCCAATTTTCATGTCATAGTTCAGACGCTGGCCGGGCCTCGGGCCTGTGTTAGGCTTCTCCTTATTTTTATATTTTAGACATCCATCAATTAGTGATGAAAAAAATTGCCGCGCTGGTGGAAACAACACAAGACCGTGCTAGCGGCTCGAACTGTTATAGATTTTATTTTAGGCAAGTCCTGATGATTTGAGAAGGCTAAATTGATCAAACATACAGTAGGCTCGCTGTCTGCCGCTGGCCGCTTGGTCGTTACTTTAAAGAAACAAAAACTTATATTTAGCAAACAAAAAAGGCTCCAAAAGTTATTTTTAATTAACTTAATAAAAAAACGAAACGAAATATAATCACTTTGCTATTACATACAAAACTGAGCTATTTTAATAGCTGAAACAGTAGTATAAGCTGTTTTGGGAGAAGGGGAAAAAAAAGAGGGGCTAGGGCGATAATTCTGATTTGCTGTTGGACACGGCCAGGCTAGGGCCTGAGGGTCTCGGGCTAGGGCCTAAATTTGAGGCCAGTGCAGGGCTCTACATCAAAGCGAAACTAGGCCGCTGACCGAGTGTGACACATGGCTCGAAAGCAGCGGACCTTTTATTATGCCACAGTCGACTGCTTCCGCTCCTTCCGGTCGTGCGTATGTGGGAAAAGCTGTTTTATCATACTAGATACATTTGAAAGTTCTGTTATAATGCTACTCTGTGCGGTCGTCACCGGTCTATTAAAACGCACAAAATATTAAAGCTCTTTGGTGTTTCCATGTTTTCTACAAAACAAAACCGGAAATCGAGGGGTTATGACGTCATTGGCAGGCGACACAATGACACTATGGGCACGGTGCGTGTCTCTAGTTAAAATTGCTTATTTCTCTGGATTTAAACATTCTTCGAAACATTTGGGATAATGTAAGTACACAAGTCAGCAAAATATATAACACCGTTTTAGTGGTTTTTGGATATTTTAATTAAAAAAAATCTTACATATTGTGCGTTTAAGTGACTATGTTTCCTAAAACACAAGTATACTTCTAAAACGTGCACTTTATAATAATGTCTAAAGTTTCAAAAGTTTTACTGTAAAGTAACTATATTTTATTTTTTAGACAAACAAATGTAACCAGATTTCAAAGACAAGTAATTATGAGTTTACATATTACACAAAGATATACTTGAGTCAAAAGCACACTCTAAAGTTCAGCTAACTGCATTTAAGATATAGTAGATTTAAACTCTAATACATAAAGTGTGACAAATGTGGAGAATTAGAAAAAGTGAAACATATTATTGTTGAGTGTTCTGCATATGAAAGGGAGAGATTTCAATTAATTCAAGAATTAGGATGGCTGGGAGTTGATAATATTTCTTTAAAAGTATTGTTAGGAAATGGGTCGAGGCAATCAAGAGTGCAAGAAAATATGTTTAAATACCTGAAAAACGCAGGAACAATAGATAGGATCTAGTTTCTTTTCTTTTTTTTTTCTTTTCTTTTTTTTTCTCCTTTCTTTCCCTTCTGTATTTCTTTCTTCCAAATTTATGCACACTCCAGATCAGTAGGTGGCGGTAATGCACCTCTTTCGCTGGTTTGCCAAACCGCCATAAAACACCAGAAGAAGAAGAACTCTAATACATTTTCATCAAATTGCAATTAACGTGCAGTTAAGTGTCCGAAAACAATTCTTTTACAATAAATTATTTCTGTAACTAGTACCCTTTTCAAAAGTATGCTGAAGTGTACTTATTTTTCACAAGTGGTGACTCCTTCGTTCAATTCATTGTTCATTCCAGAAAAAAAAAAAAACAGGCCAACAACCATAGATCAGTTTGTAATGTTTTAAAATTAATTTAAAGGTGACTTTTATTTTGAAAAGCTGTGTGCCTGGCGGCCATCTTGGGTATTTCTAGAGGGTACTAGCACAGTTCACATTGTTGAAAGTGATACAGTAAACCACGCGAAGGGATCGATTAAAAGATCAAACTGGTGAGAATTGGCAATATTCTTAGTTTACGAAATCAAACCCACAACACAAATTATCTTACGTTGACATGAATGTAGCTGTATTAATCTTTCCCATTTTTATTGGCAATAAAGGTTTAACTAGTTAGTTAGCTTAGCAGCAATACAAATGCAATGGGTAAACTTTTTAGCGTAATAATTGTGTTTTTGCATACATTTGGCCGTTCACGGGACAGTTTAACCTCAGTCGTGTTTTCTGTGAGTCCTCAGTGTGCTGTGGATCTGGAGTTATTAATTCATAGTGTTCTGTCGTGACAGACCGGTTAAGTGCATCAGTCACGAATCGTGATTCACGAGCGCGCAGACTCGGAAGCCGCTTTAACGCTGTTGCAGTTGTGTGTAGTGACGGCGCTACACCGGGGCTAGGGGGGGGAGGGGGGTATAGCCCCGTCAGAATTTTGAATAGCCCCGGGTTAGCCCCCCTTGGAACGTCAGCCCTCAACCCCAAGCATGCCACATTCCTTCAAAAGGAGAGCTTTGTGCCCATGGCACAGCACTATGGAATCAGAGAGGACAATCTGCTGGCTGAGTTGCACCAAATGCGCCGGCTTTTGGAAAGAAAAAAAGAAAAGGGGGAAACAGTTAGCAGTGCACTGGAGTTATTATCCATGCTTAAACCTTACAAAGACTCCTTCGCGGACATTTATAAACTTTTACGCATATCTGTCACACTGCCAGTAACTTCCGCGTCATGTGAGCGCAGTTTTTCCTGCATGCGGCGTGTAAAAACATACCTGAGAAACAGAGTGGCAAACCCTCGACTCAGCAACCTTGCTTGCCTGTCCATTAGTGATGCGTGGATGGCGGTTATATCCGCGGGCGCTGCGGATAATCCGCGGGATCGGGTGCGGTTATCTAAATCAGACAAAAATACAGGTGCGGGCGGTTGGCGGGTGGATCATTTATTTGAAGCTGCGGATTCGGGTGACGTTTTAGCTCATCCGCGCATCACTACTGTCCATACACGCAGAAAGAACCAAGGCCCTGGATGTTCAGAAGATCGTAGACTAATTTGCGCTAAACCACGGCAACAGACGTATCGTCCTTCTGTAGGCTATATGCAATCCATTACATAGTCACTAAGGTTGTGATGTGGTGTTCGTTTTAATGTTTTATTTAAGTTTTAAGTATGCACAGTTCTGATTATGCATATAAATATGTATTGTGTTGTAAATGCTGAGCGCATGGATGCTGTCCTGTGCTGTTTGCACATCTCACACAGTAACCTCCGCGTCAGTGAACCGCGTGAGCGCAGTTTCCTGCATTAGGCTACATTTAATCCATTAATAATCACTGAGATTGTGATGTGGTGTTCGTTTTAATGTTTTATTTAAGTTTTAAGTATGCACAGTTCTGATTATGCATATGTATTGTGTTGTTAATGCTGAGCGCACGGGTGTTGTTTGCACATATCTCACACGGTAACCCAGTAGGGGTTCAATCTTCAACTGGCTGGCTGGCTGGCAGCTGTACGGGAATAATAATATTATTTTTTATTGTAGATCTGTTCATATGACTTTATTCTTTTACATATTCGATGTTTTATGGAGTGATATGGAACCCGTTCAGTTCGGAGCTGAAAGTGACTGGCTGCACTGAAGCGGCAGTAATCCACCAGTCGGGATCACGGTCATTTGAACACTTTATTTGTGATAAACCTCCCTAAAATGTCCACAGTTTAAAAGACTAGACTTATAATAATATATTAATAATCATAAAATAATATAGTTAATTGCAGAGACAGTGGTAGGGAACGCGTTAAACTCGGAGCGCTCTTGCGGCTGGCCGATTGAGCAGCCAGTGTGGGCTTTCTGCTTCGCATGCCGCCACTTTCAACGTCCAGGAAACCATGGAGAGAAGACAGCATTTACCCAGGACGGCTATTTCTTTATGAAGTAACTCTGACGTCATCAATATCATTTATTTTCTTAGCACCCCCACCTATTGGTCTAGCCCCCCCCTTAGCACCGGTAGAGAAAAAATTCTGGCGCAGTGCCTGGTTGTGTGTCAGCAGTTAGTCATCCGTGCCTGTCTGCACATACAAGCACATTTCTCACCGAGTCTTGGTTGATTCGTGTGTGTAAACATGCCATCTTCCCTTTGTCCTTGCAGGAAGTGTCTGGTGTTAAACTAACAGTGTGCCTGTGGTCCTGTTGATAATTCACGATCGCGCAGACTCAGAAGTCACTTTAATGCTGTTGCAGATGTGTGTCAGCAGCAATTAGTCATCATGTCTGTCTGCACTTGACCACATTTCTCATCGAGTCTTGGTTGGTTCGTGTGTGTGTGTGTAAACATGACATCTTCCCTTTGTTCTTGCAGGAAGTGTCTGGTGTTAAACTAATAGTGTGCCTGTGGTCCTGTTGATAGGAAGGGCTCAGCAGTGCCTGGGTGCCCAGGGAGCCACTGCCTGAGTCCCTAGAGGTAGACACCAAACCACAGGACATGAGTGCCGCCAAAGAAGGCCTGGTCATCTTCACGGCCAACTCCAACCCTTCCAGCAGAGAGCTGGGGAGGAGGATAGCCGAGTAAGTTGCTGCTGGAGGTCCAGTATAACATGCCAGTTATATTGGGTAGTTAGGAAAGAGTGGAAAGACATTTATTCTCCAAATGAGCAAATCTGAGCTAGAACAACTGTATTCTTTTGAGTGCTAGGTAACAACAAATCAAGTAAGTGCAAGTACACTACCATTCAAATTATGTACACTACCATTTTAAATTATGAAGTTTTTAACCCTTTAACTGTCACCCGTCCCCTCTGTGGGACGCCTAAGTTTACTTCACTATATTACAATTAAATCCTAATCTAATCATGACAAACTATATATAGTTGGAATGGTCTTTAAGTAGGCCTGTCGCGATAATTAACCGTCTTAATCGCGATTATTTGATCTAACCAACCGTGATTATTGTGTCTTTTATACGAGACAAGGGGGAGTCATACACCAAAAGAAACAGAAGAGCACCAGTTTGCTTTTCATGCACTGTATAGCCTATACAGGGCTCCAGACTCATTCTTCTCACTGGTTGCTCTTTTGCAACTAACTTTCTCAGCTGGTGGCACAAGCACACTTTCTCAGCTGGTCGCAATATTTATTTTTTTATTTATTTTTTTTGCGCTACAACATGGGATTATTCAGTGCATGCTGATATTTACTGAACCCTTAAATTAGTCAATTATATAATGAAAGCCATAAAAACAGACAATTAATCGTGATAATTGGCATAATCGGCAAAGCCCTAAAAAAGACAATTAATCGCAATAACCGTGACGAATGAAAGCCATAAAAACAGACAATTAATCGTGATAATTGGCATAATCGGCAAAGCCCTAAAACAGACAATTAATCGCAATGACCGTGACTATTTTTTAGACAATTAATCGTCAGCCAAATTTCATAATCGTGACAGCCCTAGGTCTAAGACTCCTAAATAGATATTTTACCAATGTTTTTGTTAAAAATCATGTAGGAAAAGTAATAAATTAATTTTTGACGAGTGCACCTCAAAAATCTACATCATAACAGGAGTTCTGACCTTTGTCAAAAAAAGTCTTCTTTGTTGCCTTTTTCTCTATCACACTTTAGAAATCATCAGAAATTATATATCAATTGAAAATTTGAAATCTCAAAATTCATCCTTTGAAACCCATTTTAAAACCAAACATTGCATTACCATGAAAATGGTACATCAATATCATGTTACAAAATGTTTTCGTTCATGAATTATACAAATTTAAGTTTGGATCGTGCACTTTCACATCTATGTTCAAAAATGTGAGTGACAGTTACGGGGTTAACAGACTTGACTTTCTTGTCATGCAAATCGCCGTGGTTTTAAGACTGACATGACATAGAAGAACAAAATAAAATAAAATTACGATTATTTTTAATTAAAAAAATGAATATTAATTAAAATAATTGGGCTTCATTTTCTTTATGTAAATTACATTTCTTATTTTTGTCTTTAGATTTTGTGGTGAAATATGATTTGGGACAACTGATATTTACGTCTTGTAACTTGTGTGTCAAATATGAAAGGTTTCTCTTGTGTATTTAACCTGTTATATTGCATCATATTGCTTTGAACTTATGTTCTTGTGCAGGCGGTTGGGTGTGGAGCTTGGAAAGGTGCAGGTCTATCAAGAAGCTAACAGAGGTGAAGGCCTGTTTTCTTTTCTACTTTCCATTATAAATATCTGTGTATCTTTTAATCTTCACCAGCGATGGCTGTGACCTCTGCTGTAGCAGTTGTTCATTCTTGGCGTGCCATGCTGGAGAGAGCAGACAAAACAGATTGGTGATCTGAGCGACTGTTGACTAATTAAACTGACAGTCTTTGTTTTGGGTCATGCTCGTGTATTCTGAAATGGAGATACGCTTGCACTCCCACATGCAGACACTCTGATGGAATTCTCCCAGCATTCCATGCACCGTTACGTCCTTGTGCAAACTTTTAAATAGCCAATCTGTTCTGTAAAGTGAAATGTTTACTGTGGACCAAAGAAACAATGAAAGTAACATTTCTTTTCCCACAGAAACACGGGTCCAAATTGAAGAGTCTGTGCGCAGCGAAGATGTTTTCATCATCCAAACTGTGTCCAAGTAAGAAGCCTTAAAGGGATACTCTATTCCAAAAGGAAAATTCTCTCTTCGTTTACTCACCCTCATGCCGTTCCAGATATATTTGACTTTCTTTCTTCAAATGAACACAAATAAAGATTTTTATATAGTGCAGGTGTAAGGGTCCCTCAAAGTTATGCTTCAAAAACACACAAAGAGAACACAATGCTAACCCATACGTTCAATCATGAACTCATATGACAGCCAAAAGCAACAACTTATAGTTAAAAGTTTGAAATATTAGTATTTATCTTACGTACACCTATCGTTTCGCAACTGGTTCATATGGATTACAGATTTGTTCATTTTGTGTGGTTTAAAGCATCAACTTTGGCCATCCCATAGACTTGCATTATATGGGCTCATAGAGATGGATTATTTTTCTAAAAATCTTTCTTTGTGTTCATCTGAAGAAAGTAAGTCATATAGCTTACATTTGGAACGTCACGAGTAATTAATTCCTCTTGTTATGTAAAAGCACTTCAATTTGCAAATAAGACATAACAATAACAATGTAATTTAGATTTATGTTCACAGCAGAATTATGCAAATCAGGCAGATTAACCCTCAGTTTGACATTAATACTGATGTTAAATGCGCAAATCTCCATGTATGCAAATGAGGTTTTAAGTCTTTAAAACTTTTCTTCTTCTTCATCTGCAGGGATGTTAACACCACCATCATGGAGCTGCTCATTATGGTGTATGCCTGCAGGACATCCTGTGCCCGAAACATCATCGGCGTCATTCCCTATTTCCCCTACAGCAAACAGTGCAAAATGAGGAAGAGAGGCTCCATCGTCTCTAAACTACTTGCCTCAATGATGTGTAAAGCAGGTAAATGAGTCCATCCGAGACTTAATCGTCCCTTCATTTTTGGTTTATAAGGATATTGTCCAATTATAGTCCTCCAACTCATTTGTTTTGTCTGGTGGTTCTGTTCATTGTGGCTTTGAGCAGGTCTGACTCATCTCATTACTATGGATTTGCATCAAAAGGAAATCCAGGGTTTCTTCAACATTCCAGTGGACAATCTCCGGGCCTCACCATTCCTGCTGCAGTACATCCAGGAAGAAGTAGGTCTTTGCATAACGCATGTGTGGATCTCATTTGCATAAGATCTGGATTTCCTGTTGACAGTTTTCTTCCTGTTTGTCTTCTCAAAGCTTTCAGTTTGAATTATAAGGCAGTCTATGCTTCACTTTATGAATGTCACCAATTACGTTTGTTAAAAAATAGAAAGCAGGACAGAAACTAGATTTAACTGACGTTGATATTTCTCTGCATAAATTACTCCACTCAAGATTATGCATTCATTTTTTATTCATGATCATTTTCTCTCTTGCTCTGATGGAAGGCCATCTGCATTAGTTAGTAATGAACTGTGACTGTATGTGAGTGTGTGTTATATAAGTGTATATGCCTACCTCTTATTTAAGATTTTTAAATTATGTGTGCATATTTTTTTATTATTAATTAATTTTTTTCTGTATACAGATTCCTGACTACAGAAATGCTGTAATTGTGGCCAAATCTCCAGCATCAGCCAAAAGGTGAAATCAAATCTTACTTTTGCGTGTCATGTCAGTAGGGCTTTCACGATTAATCAAATGTGATTGTCATGCGCATCTCATCAGTAAAGCTGGTTCTGTGATTAGTAGTAAATCTCCAGCACGTACTTTCAGATGGAGCAGCATTTACTACACAGAGCCGTAGTTCACTGACAAGCTATGCAAAATCGCGTTCATAATCGCAGATGATTTAATCGCGCGATAATGAAATCATTCTGCGATCATGAAAGCTGTTTGCGTAGCTTGTCAGTGAACTACGGCTCTGTGTAGTAAATGCTGCTCCATCTGAAAGCACGTGAAAATACCACATTTAATAACATGTTTTTACTCCAACTCACTTCATAACGTCAGTCGAGTGTTTGAAATAAATCCTTCGGTGAGATGATGTGGCTTCTTACACAGAATAAGGCACGCAACATATTTCATAGTATTCTGAGCAGCGATAAAGGCTATGTCGATTAGCATTGCATTATTATATACTTTATCATAATATAAATTATAAGACGAACTCAGATAAACCATATATTGTCGTAGTCGTGTGTTTATTAGTCACGTTGAATCAATGAAAGCTGTTAAATCTTCTGTTTATTCAGCAACCTATAGGGATTTCCTGGGTTTCTTCTGCGGGGTGTATTTGGAGTTTCCGCGCGAGAGCGCCCTCTGGCCTTCGGATGGAGATTTACTGCTGATCACAGAACT